GTTCTTTTTTCTCTGATAGATGGTTAGAATTTCATCTGGGTTTGAATCCTACTGAGAGATTCACTAGAGATCAAACTCGATAAAGACTCACTCATCTCCATGTGGTCGTGTCTATAGAAAGAGAATTGGATATGAGCTATATGGGTTTTATCTTGGAACCGTGTAGTGCCGAAAGAAATACGAATTTAAGATAGTGTCATCGACATGCCTCCTAAGGCTTGCTTTCTAACTCTTCTTATGTTATTGTTGAATTAAGTTTATGTTATTTACAATTGATTATCTACACACAAATCACCCATTTTTTCTTGACAATCTAAAATCATGTTCATAATATTTGGGTTATTGAGCCTGGATTTGACCATTTTGTGTATAATATTTGGGCAAGGGAGAAGTAAAACCCTAGGCTAGAGTATGAGAAGTGAAGAACCTGGGAATCACTTATAATGTCATCAATATGTCCAGAGTACCTAGTATAACTACATCAAAAAGCTATTCAGAAAGATTAATACTTGTCTGATCTACTTCCCTGATCTTGATGCAAGTCACAGCAGAGATTTGATATAATAATTCTACGCCTATCTGTTAAAAAAGCCAATCTCAACCTTTGTTTTTCTTAAAATCTAGTCTGCTTCATAGTATATCAACATTATATCATATTTCATGAGCCGAACTATGATTAAAAGAACAGGAGTGTTCACCAAATAAATAAGGAAACGAAACAAAAGCATGGAACGGAGATCTTGGGAAACAAAACATATTTTGATTTGAAGCATGAATAAAAGTCACTAAGCTGAATGATTTAATTAAAAGGATTTAGCTAAATGCATATTTAATGGACAATGTCTTTTCAACTGATTATTCTACTTATTGATCAGGATCATCACCATGACCACGCACATCATTTAGCTCCATAAAGATTTAGTGCTTAGTATACCATTTAAACGTCACAGTTTGATGTCCAAGATTGGCAATCATGCCCATGGAGATTAACCTTTAAAACTGAAGTCAAAATCATCAATACGATCTATTATGTACATGCAAAACAGTGGAAGATTTACTTTTCTCCACTATCTATTGGTACTACAACCTTATTCGCAATATGAACTCATAGTTAGTAATATTGTAACACCCCGAAAATTTTACTAAATAAAATTATTTATTTCATCTACTACATTTTATTATTTGAAAG